ACACCACATTCATTGTCTTATTTGACTGGAAAGCCAGATTATCCCCCGTTGATCCAAGTAATGACGCTGGGCTCTGTGTGCAGTGGTGCCAGCAGCCTGGTGCCTTCAGCTTGAGAACAAGAGCAAGAGCAGGGGATGCGGGAGAGGCACGATGCCCACCTCAGTGCAGTGAGAAAAGGCACACAGAACTGTTCATGTCTTCACACACTTGAAAAGTAAAACATCTTCCCCCACTGTATTTATCTCAAACAGCCACAAAAAGTGACAGAACTAATTTGAAAACCACTCCAGGAGGTTTCTGTTATCAACAAGGTAAAACATTCCGAATGACATGGAGGTTTTCTCCTACCACAAGATCCCTGCATAAAGAAAAAAGAAATCCATGGAAAACAGATAATTGGACTTAAATTAATAACCATTAAATAAGATCAACGCAGTTAAGTTTGCTCCTGTTTGCTTTCAATGTTTGCGTGAGGCCCTGCTACAGCTGAAGCTCTCAAGCTTTCTGTCTTAGAAATCTACTAAATACGATAGAAAAGCACGAAGGAGAATGGAGAACAGTGCAGGAAGCTGGAATCTTTCTAGGACAGGTGTAACTTACGCAGGAAATGCCAGGCAAGCGCAGTGATGGGGACCTTCCCCCAGGCTCAGGAGCCATTCTCCTGCATTAACTCCCAAAGCCCAGGAGATGGAGCAAACCTGCAGCCCTTGTAGGATTTACTACAAGCGTTTCGGGTCAGCCTTAAGGCTCCTCACGCACCCATGAGCTGTGCAGCCGTGTACAAAACATTGCTGCAAGGTTGCTCGCATTTGAGCTGAACAAGTTCAAGATCGTAAATGAAAAGTCAGCAGAAACCTGCAAGAGTCACATGTATTGAGTCACCTCGGCCAATGAGTTTCACCGGGATATACTCAGATTTGTGATCACTAACAACTTGCTGTGCTCAGGGAGGGGGCCCTAATCCAAGCTTCATAGAATCATAGAATGGTTTGGGTTAAAAAGGAACTTAAGATCACCTAGTTCCAACCCCCTGCCACAGGCAGGGACACCTCACACTAGACCATATCACCCCAGGCTCCATCCAGCATCGCCCTTAACACTGCCAGGGATGGAGCATTTACCACTTCTTTGGGCAACCTTTTCCAGTGCCTCAACACCCTCACAGTAAAGAACGTCTTCCTTATACCTAACCTTCCTCTCCAGTCCCTGAACTGGAGGAATGTCGGACCCCAGCATCCCACAGGGCTTGCGGCAGCTCCCACAGAGTTTGTCCTCCCACATTTCTGTGTATTTCTGTTCAAAACAGCAGAGAAAAGGCAGGCAGCAATTAAAAACATCAGGCACGGTTTATTTTAGCACAGTGCCCTAGTGCCTTTTTAAAGATTCCTGGCAAAGGACTGGGTGTTCTTCTTCATCCATCAACTAAAGAGCACTCATAAATGCTCCATTACGTTCCATTTTATGTGGGTTTTAATTTCCCCTCCACTCATCGTCAGCATGTTCTACCTTCTAAAGAGAGAGACTTGTAAAACTGAACACTGTGGGTCTGTGGGTGTTTTACACTGTGGAGTTTTTCACCTCTTGGCTTTGCTCTGGATCGTCCTAAACAAGAATTTCAAAGTATTTCTTCAAGTTGGAAGGGGCAGGAAGGATTTCAGGAGAGCGAGAGGCAGAAAGGCTCCTCTCGTCAATGGTGCTGGTCAGTCACTAGATGTCCTCAGTGACTCTGGTGAGGAAGCGCTGTGGTTCAACTACAGAACACAGGGATTCGGCAGGAATCCAAACAAAGCACAGGTAATTTGTATTTCAGCTGTGAACAAATATGATAATCATTACAAGTACGTCTTTATTACCTCTTCAGCTGCATTATACAGACCTGGTCTCTGGGAATAGTAGTACACGCATGCCAGATCATCGCTCCAGAGGTGCAGTGCAATACAGTAAGCTGGAGGCCTGTAAAAGGTAAAGTTAAGGGTTCTGGGGACCAACTGACAAAAATCAGGTGCTGCAGAAGCTGTGCACCATCACCAGCTCCATTGGTGGAGATGGGAAGGAGGTCCCACAGGGAGGTTGTGCCCTCCCTCTCCTTCCCTGTGCCACCCAAAGGCTGACCCCAGCCCTTTGCTACCTGCCCCAGGCAACATCTGAGAAGTTGGATCTTCTTACTCTCTCCTCTTCTGGGCCTCCTGCTTCACTCTATACTTCAAAACAATCTCCAAAAGCACAACTCTTGCTGGCCCAGGCATGCAGAGAAGGACAAGTGGAGTTACAAGAGCTGTACCTGCCCTGGTACCACCCTTCAATTTCCAGCTCCTCTGCAGCTCTCTCACTGGAAGCTTCAACCAGGCTCTAAACTGGTTTTATGCCACTATTCCCAAATATAGCAAACCATCCTCAACCCAAACCCACGTCTAATTCCCATCTTCTCAACATCATCATCCAAAATTGTCCTGGCCCTGTCTGAGCAAGCCAGGAGGCTGGGCTGAGCGTTGTGCCAACATGGATGTGTTAGGGCTGAGCTAAATCCTGAACACTAACAGAAAAGCCAATACAAAACTTAATGGCTGAGTTTTGCACTAAGGAATGCAAACAATGCTTTTAATGGGGCACAGACCTTGTCACACACTTTGTTTCCTGTTTTAACTGAAAAGCTTTGAGAGTGATGATGAATAACCACCAACTTGCACCAATACCATGAGTTCTGGGTAAGGCATTGGACTTTGTACCACTCAGCTTCCTGCTCACAACACTTAACGTTTTGTAACAGCAGCAAGTGTGATTCAGTGAACAACGAACTTGAAACAGATAAACCTCAAAAAAACACATAGAGAAAAGGAAAAGTGTGACAACATGGGGGTATTTTCAGTGGGGAAGTTCTTGTTAACAACTATTTTCACCTACAGCCTGGGCATAAGCATAAAATTCAGTGGTGGTGAAGCTTATGGATGGCACAAAAAGTAGGGAATAACAAATAACTCTGAGGAGGTAAGAATGAGACTGAAAAACCTCAACTGCTGGTGACCGGGGTGCAAAAGCAGTTGTACATCTAGAAAGAACTATGTTCAGTCGCACGAGGCCACCTTGGTCTGTGTATCACTGCCCAGCTGATACTGACCGAGGATACCGACCATGCCACAGGGATGCTGAATGAGGCCAACTCGGTTCCCTCGGGACAGATGTGCGGAGAGGATCCTCTAAAGGCACCAAGCCCCACATCTCCCTCCCCTTTACCATCAGAAATTCACTCACAGACATGTTTTGGAAGGGTCTGAACTGCCCTGGGAGAAGCTTCCAGCAGCCAAAACCACTGACCCTCTGAACCCAGCCTAAAACCACAAGCCAAAATAAATCGCGCCATGGTGATCTACCCTCTTAAAGCCCTGAAATAACACACACTGCACTTTTCCAAGCACTCAAGCAGAAACAGGAGGAATGCTGAAGTGGTTTTGGTAACACACTTTTCAGTTTATTGACCTATACAAAATAATAGGTCTAAAAAATTCAGAAGTAGTAAAAGAATAAGCAAAAAGAGCTCTCGCATTTCTAGAAGGCTATACAAATATGCAAAACCAAGGAAATAAGTTATTTTTTATTGGGATTTTTTTGTTCCTTTAATTCCAAATGGCAACTCTAATAATACAAACGACTAAGTACCAGCTTAACAAGTGTGTCCTTTCTGTATATATTACATGCTCTGGAATATTGGTAAAAAACGTCAAAAAAGTTTATCAGAAACTTCTCTATTCACAATATGCACAAGGAGTAACTAACCCTTTGTACAAAAGAAAAAAAGAGCACCATTTCTGGAATCCTGAAGCACAGTACAGCTGAAAAACGAGAGAGAATTCACCGTATGCAAATGAGCCGCTGGAAATCACGGAAGATAACCCATGCCAATTTGTTCCTACAGATGAGGTAGGTTTATCCCTCTTAGATCAAGACTGCAGCCGCACTTTTTTCTTCCTGGACAAATGGTTTTGTGAGAATGCTGTTCTGTCACTTAGTGACTCTGCAACGCACCTGGCAGTTCAGATGACTCGCGGTACAATCCTAATGCCCCTCATTTTAAGGCACCCACTTGGCTGGTTTGTGTTTGCATCCACCTTAAATTACTGGCCGTTACAATCAAGCTGTTTGCCGCGTGAAGGGAGCTCCCCACTGCGGATCCTCCATTCACTTGTGGCAGAGCAAAATGCTGTCACCCGAGGAACAGGGGGTCACTGTGCAGCCACTGTGAAAATTTGCCTATTCCTCCGCACAGTGAAGTTGTACCATGGAAAGGTCAATAGATGGGAGGTTATTACTTACACTTTATCATGGAAAAGAGAGTTCAAAGTTTACTGCTTCCATTTCCAAAATCCACAACCGCCTATTGTTTTACACGACATATTGTGTCAGCAAATCCTTTTCTTTCCAGAACTTGCTTGTGGTGCTAACGAACACTCTTAACAACACCCCAAAAAAAGGATACACTCATTCAAACCTCCATAACAAGTAAAAACAGAAAAGAACCCAGCCTTCAAGTAATGTTCCAATACTGATTAAGTCACCCTTTGCCTCACTCACACACACAGCATCTATCCTTCATAAGCTTATGAAAGTCCTTCCAGGTCATCATAAGCCATGGCAGAACAAATTTCTTCTTCTTTCAAACATCCTAATTGTGCTCCTAGAATTCCTGTTTTTTCCATAAGAGTCTCGGTTTCACATTTGTGTTTTTCTTTTTCTCTGAGGTTTGCCTTCAACACCTTCTAATCTTCCCAAAAAGTGCTTGCTAAGTATAAATACTTCAACCAAGTGCTGCATCTAGTCATAGATCAAACTGTGGCTTGCCCTTGCTCGTGTAGGCTACCTGGATTCAGAAAGAAACGCCATTCATGGTAAGACTTTGTCATTTTGCTACAGTCCCTCTTGATGCTGAATTTGCTCTTTCCCAGCAAACAGCCTGCTTCCTTGGGTTTTGTTCCATTTGGAAGTCCCACCCGAGATCTGCCTCGGTGTCACAGAGTGTTGTGCAAGGCACACAAGGGTACGAGTGCGGGGCTGCAGGCGGGCTACACGAGCGTCCCAGGCTTTGAATCCTCATGCCAGAATAACGTCTGCTCGTTGCTGTGCAAGTCATCTTCCAACTGGCTCTCCTCATCACCACCCAGCTGGCTCGGCTCTGCATACGCTCTGGAAGAGACACACAGCACCAAGGATCAGTGAGAGCTGCAGGTCTTCCCCACACCCCTAAGTGCTGCACAACTCCCTTGGGTTTAAAGTAATGCTGGTTACTGCAAGTCCACCCCCCCAGCGTAGTTTGGATCCAAACACAAACCCAGTTTTTGTGCTGTAATTAGTAAAATTGTGTGCAACAGGCTCTCAGCTGCTCAGAGTTGTCACAATTGTAGGGCGTATTAATTGATCGTTTGCCATAATCACATTAAAACAGAGAATAAAACAGATGAATGATCACATAAGTGATTCAGAATATGGAAAATTAATACCTAATAAACCTCATTTAGATAAAGCTGCCAAAATAAGCAGTTTTCAAAGCTCAGTTATAGGAAATTAAGAAATTAGTAGAAACTGTATTTTTAAACACTGCTGGAGTAGATCTTGTAAATCACGGCAATAAAAAAACCCTGGAATTTAGCTCAGATCCAGCAGAAGCTTTTGTATCTTTTACTTACACTTCCATTTATTTTAAAACAAACAAAATAAGCATTTCAGTACTTTCACACAAAGCCTGGCAGCAAGCACGAACTGCAAACCACAAAGCAGGAGGCAAACAGGTGGGGAACTTAACTATGGCTGGCTGCACTTCACATAAGTGTACTTAATGTGATGGCATTTAAGGGGGCAGAGCCATTCCCCTGAGCAGGAGGTCTCTGTCCTCACTGGTAACAGTCAGTGTATGACGGTGGTGGAAAGAGACCAAAACCACCAGATAGAAGCAGAAAGAGAACTGCAAGAATTTGTGAGGACAGCGCAGAGCCTGAGCTCCTCGTTGTCCTCAGGAGAGCTCCCATGAGCAGGGTGGCTCTGCAAGCAGAAGCACTTCCCGCCTGGTTCCTGGGTTAAGCTCTGCCAAGGGAGATGTGCTGGGCTGATGCAGCATTGCCTTTGAACACCAGCACTCAGACATGAGATTGAAAGAGGTCTTTCCTTTCCTTGCTCTTCCCAAAGTTTATCAGCACAGGCACTACAACAGTACTGTGTCCTGCTGGGGTGGTGATGGGGTGCAGGAGAGACCTCCTGTCACATCGGGCAAGAGGGATGGGGGTCAGTGGGTGTTCTGCGTCCAACACTGTTTCAAACATTGCAGATACCTGGGAATGTGAGATCTTCAATGATCCAGCACCAGCCAAATGAAAAAGCTGAGCAACAAATGAGTTTATCCTTCGCTAGGGCTGCTTCCCTGGTGGTACAGCTGATCTACTCCACACACAGAAGATTTGCTCTCACAAAGTCAATTTCATAATTACTCTTTATCCTGGCCCTTTGAAATCAAGCTGATTTTCTCATGAGTTCTAACAGCCTGTGAAATGCAGGAGGAAGGGCAGAAAATCCTGATATACTCTACTCACCTGCTCTGCAAAGGAAGGTTGCCATAGACATTCCCATAACAGCTGGCATAAGAGGAATGAGACAACGTATCGTAGTCTGAAAGTCCCAGTGCAAGTGGGTTTCGCCAGTTCCCAGCAGGGTTTGCAGAAGATCCTGGAATCAAAAAAAAACAAACAATTACAGCAAATTAGACCTTTCTCCAGCAATAATTCTCATAAGTGATCTCTATGGGTTTCTGCAGGACACACAAGCAGACCATGCAAACAAAACCCATGAATTTGTGGCAGCGGGGGTGGAACTGATTGATCTTTAAGGTCCCTTCCTACCCAAAACATTCTGTGATTCTGATTTACAAGCCATATAGTGAGGCAAGCACTATGCAAGTGGTATTTTGGAGCTAGGGAATCTCTTTTATAAGACCTTCTGACCCATTCAGTGATGCTCATTGTACTGTATTTCAGAAGCCATAACTGCAACTGCATTTACATGGCATGAAGTTTTGCACATTGCTTCTAGTTGGTAAACAAGCCTGTTTGAATCCCTTCTTTGTGCTTCTTTGGACTACTGCGCTTATGAAGAACAAAAGGCAGTTCTACCAACCAGCAAGTCTTTCTTCCCAGGCATGGAACAAGAAGATCCTATTCAGTTCCTCATCTACCTTTCAGGACAGAGCTCTAGCCTTGCTTCTACTCTGCTGACTTCATCAGTGCAGCGGAGGGGGACAGAATTTGATGCATAGCAGGGACTTAGAAAAGCACTCAGCGTAGAAGAAATCAGGCATTACCTGAAGAGAAAGATGACACCCGACTGCTAGGAGAGCATGGAACCTGCAGACCAGCAAAGCCCAAACTCCTTTGAGATCCTCTGTCAGACTCAAAGCCTGCCTGCAGGCTATGACCCTGTTCCTTTTGACTGGAGGCACGTTGGTACCAACCACGGAGATGCTCTGCTACTAAGGCCTTGTGAATGTTTTTGGTTATATGCTCCGTTTTAGCAACTTGCTTCCTTGGAAGCCTGAGGGTTGCGTATGGGTTGTGCGGTACTCTGTCCACTTCATCCTCGTGGTAAGACCTGAATTCCCTGTAACGGTCATATCCATAATGTGCCGATGAGCGATAGGAAGGATTGACACTGTACTGTCCCTCCGTGTCACTCTCATAAACATATCCTCCATTGTAATAAACGTCAGATTCAGTGTATGGGGAGTATCCAGAAATATAGTAACTTGAGGAAGGCTGCTCCTGACTCTTGTGGTAGACACCATTGCGGACATCCTTATGGGCAAGATTTGGCATACTTCCAGAATTTGCAGCAGAAATGTTCTGTTTCTTTGACCGTCTTCGACCCCTGGTCCTGTTATCGAGTGTCTGAGTAGTGTAATATGGTTTGGGAGTAGGTGTCACGCAGTAATATTCTGCACTTGACTGGCTAGTGTAGGATGATCCATCATCGAGGATCTCCGTGCTGCTGCTTCGCTGGGACTTCGAGAGGGTGAAAGCTGCCTTCTCAGCAGGAGCCTCGGACAGCAGGTGGGTTTGGGATTCCAAACTTCCGCTGCGCTGCCGGCAGTGGTGTGGGGAAACATCTGGCCTGAAACAACACAGATGTCTGCTGTTTAAAGGTAGTCACACACAAACACGCACAGAGAGTTTCACAGAGCACACATGGGAAGTCAGGCATGCTGCCTCCCCAGTCACAGCACGATACAAACCCAGTGTTGTCTCCCTGCACAGAGTATCTGCACTGCAAGAAATTCAGCTTGGCTGAATTTTAGATTTACTGCAACAGTAGGAGATCTCTCATATAAAAGTGTATCATGTGGTGAGCAAGGTTAATCTGTGACAGGGATACATGCAACAAAGCTCACAAACTCACACTCTGGAATAATTTGCAGGAGGGCACTTTCAGTATTTAAGTAGGTAAAGTCTACAGAAGTAACTGAGCTAGAAGCAGAACACAGGAAGATAGGTTTCCTGTGGCTCTGTCTCTCATGGCTGCATCATGCCAGCCAAATAAACTATGAGCTCTTGATAGCATTATAAGATCTATAGCAACTCTCCTTCCCCAGCATGGATTCTCAGCTGTCTAATAATATGGGTGAGCTCATGTTGGGGCTCTCTTCCCGTAGTTGGGGCTCTCTTCCCGTAGTAAGGGCAGTAATTAGGATCTCTCTCTTCTATCTGGCCAATCTTTTAGGAGGCTTGTAGGAACGTAATTCACAACAGACATCTGTCAGCTCATGAACAAGTTATTGTGGGGAGACCACTAGCTGACAGACAGTACAACTTTATAAGCCTCACTTTCTTAGAAAATGAGGTTACAATGGAAATGTGAAATAAATTCTGGCTATCTTACAAATATTCTACAGAAACTTTTTGAACAAGCTTTACTTATTAAAACTCCCTATAGCTGCCTATCTGGAAGTGACCCTTCTCCTACAGTCTTTCATGATCAGACAGGCAATATTTGTGAGCTAGCTTCCATCTCTCTCCTAATTTTGCAGACAGCCATTTGTACGTGCTGTTTGCCCAGGCAGGGTTTGTGCTCACACTAACACATCACAAAGCTGGTGCAGGACTGTGCCAGAAGACACTGGCTGATGTTAACCTTGTGCCTCCAATATCCAGAAATGACATTTTGAGAGCCTGACCCTGCTGTAGAGAAAGCTGTATGGCAAAGGACCCTTGCCTTCTGAGCACTATTTGCTTTTATTCTGCTGCTGCCTAAGATGGACATCACACTTAAAGCCCCCTTACTGTAAGTGGCTGCTACTGTAGGCGTTGCGTGTGAGCACGGGGGTTGTAGGCATGCTTCTCCCCCCATGGGGCTGGGGCGGCCGGTCCAAGGTTCGGTAAGGGCTGCTGTGAGTCGAAAGCAGGTCCCTGTAATGAAGAGCATAATCCCAGTTAGGTTAAACACTGTGCAAGTCACAGCATACAGAATACATGCACCCTAAGTCTTGAAGAAACAAAATGAAGGGCAGAAAAAACAGGTAAGGGCATAACTGGACATACTTCCCCATAAAAAACCCAGCGTTGTTAAACAGGAAAAATTCAATCCCTTCTTGTGGTTCAAGGGAGATCTCAGGATGATCAATAGGACAAGCTGCTGCCAAAGGACAGAAGTATGAAACAGAAGAGGCAGAGCAGGCAGAGAAGCAAAGGAATTGAGTTTTCAATGAAGCACATCACAGCTAAATGGTTACATATGGCTATAATTCAACTTGTGAACTTCATATGGAAGTATACTCTGCTTATCTTGAGGGACAGACGAGGAAAATGCAAGGACATGACATTGCCCAAAACTTTAAAACATTTTTAAAGCATGCCTTTAACAGCCAGCTCACACAAGGGACAGTCTGAGAAACAACATCATCAGTGGGAATCCTTACACTGAGAACAACTACCATAGGTATGGTTTGATGTTATCTGAAGCCATTAAGCTCAGTCATCAGGAAAACTACAAGTTAATACTGAAAATGAACCACAGAAACAGAGACAAAGTGTGACAGTACCGGTAAGGCACGTGCAACTCCTTAAATACAGCACTTGCTATTAAATTCCTCACCTGTCTCAAATCTCTTCACAAAGACTACACTAACCTACAGTTTCAGAGACCATGACAACTACTTAAACACACTTTTGTTACTAAATAGGAAATTTAGCCCCCATCACCAAGTCCTGTAATCACAGAGGAATGTGGAAGCTCCACTGGAGTGCCCACAGTACCAGGAGTGTGGCAGTGGTGAGACAGAGCTGATGCCAACAAGGCAGAGAGCACAGTGGCAGTGAGATGTGCCCTACCTGGAGTGTCTGGTTTCCAAGAGCTGCTCATTTATGGATGACTTTCTGAGATGAATTCTTTCCACCCCGAGGGACTTTGGTGGAGGAAGCCTCGGAGAAAGCTGCGCAGAGCTGGGTCTCTGTGCTGCCACAGGAAGCGATTCACTGACTGTTGGAAAGGAATATGTATTCTGTCAGCAAAATCCTTGATATTTTGTCCTATATGCAAACCTGTGCCCCCCTCTCAGCAGAAACATGACAGAGACGAGAGAAGCAGCGGCCCTAGAAAGGCTCTCCTGCTCTGAGCTCTCCCTGATGTGGACAGGGCGTTGTGGATGTTCATATAAATCTCAGCACCACCGACTCCTATGGAGATTATACCCAGCTTGGGGCTGTGCCAGATGACATGTGGAACTTCCTTGGGAAAACACCTGTTTGGAGCCTTGAAACCCTTCCCAAAGATGAGCAGGCAAGCTCAGCCTCTGCAAAGGCCAGTTCCTCTCCCTCACCTTCCAGCTCTTTACGTGAAAATGACATTTGAAGAATTAGTTTTGAAATACAACCTGAAAGGTACTGACTTCAAAAGCAACTGAATGAGCAAAGAACTGACAGACACATTTGGCTGAAGGCAATTGGGAAGATGCTAGCCTGATCCTTGTTCTCACTTTGCTTATAGCATAATCCAGGTCCCATCAGAGCCAACAGGAAACTCCAACTAATACATATAAATGCAGTATGAGCATCACAGAGAACACGTTCACAAGCCAAAGCCCTGGCTCTACTTCCACTTGTACAAGCAGGAATCAGGTATAACTCCATTTTAAAGCACCAGATGGGTTGTACAAGTCTAAAACTGGGACAAACTGAGATCAGAATCAGGCCCTAACTGAAAAGTGAGTAATAATTTAGATAATGCTTGTCCCCAAATGATCATTATCCAGTTTAAGGGAGAGGCAAGCCAAGTCCTTTCCACCTTGTGGAACAGGGCGTGAATGTGTGTCTCTGGGTGTGTGTGTGAAATGAGTAAGCTGAGCAAACACCATACCCATGCAAGATGCAAGCTCACCAGGTAACAAACGTAAACAGATCGTTAATATCAGTGACTGTTCTGCTTTTTGTAAGTTTTATAGTAGCTGTGAGGACAGAAGGGCCTGGCAAATCCTCCCAGCTTGTAAATCCTCCAGCTGCTCATCCTCCTCTGGCCAGGTCCTAGGGATGAAGTATTTGACATACACAGTGGCCTCAGCTTGCAGGCAGGTCACATTAAAACCAACCGCCTTGTCTAAAGATGACTCAGATCAGCTCACAGAGCAGAAACTTTCAATAACTAACCCATTATGAGGAAACACATTCCTGGTTAAGCTCTTTTTTCCTCTTCTATGAAGTATTTTGTCATTGAAAGCCATCAAAACAGCATACTAAAGTACGTTAAGTCAAAGGAATGTCTCTGAACATAGGAAGAAAAGGATAAGCAACGTACCATCATCATAGGTGGTGGTATCAGACAGGGAGCTGCTCTCAGATGGAATTATATCATCTGTGAATGAAAATAAGCACTTTAAGCATAGGAGACCCAACATCAATTTCCAAGTACCCCATAAAGTTTATTTTCTCCAGCTGCTATTTATAATGCTGCAATCTCTATGCTCTAGCTCTTAACAGCCTGAAGACAGTCCTGCTTTGGAGTATATCATGACTCAGTCGTGACAACTGCAGCCCAGCAAGCTGCCTATGTAACTATCAAAGGAGGTATTTCTTTTTCAGCTGCGGCAGGAATTGGGCCAAGATTTACAAAGGTGTTTTCCACCCAACTTCCAACAGATCTCACAGGCTGTTTCGGTGCTTCATTAGGAGTAAGGAGCCTACACAGACATGTAGATATCTTGGCTGCTAGCACCTAAACTTCTCTAGGTACACCTGAAATCCCACCAGGTAGGTATGAAACGCCTTTCGATATTTGGCTCTCAGTTTTGAGTGTTTCCCAGCATACAAATTCTGTTTCAACTGAATTAATACCAAACCAGAATAATTCCACTGATTTCAATCAAGCTATTGCAAATTCCAGCACCACAGAGTGCAGTAACTGTTGTATGGACATGACAAGTTTTCTTCTGTTTCTTTCACAGTGTTATCTATTCACAGAGCTTTACTGCGTCAGTCTGTCCTCTCACCTTCATACTACATGCTACCTCTCACTTAGAAACATCCTGTCCTTGCTCAGGTTTAGAATAGAGCAGCAGAGACAAAAAGCAGCACTAGAGATAACTAACACAGAGAAAAAAATCTGTTCCTAGGTTGTTTCTGGGAAGACACAGCACTGGGGAGGGGTAAAAAGTCTACAATGACATCCATGCAAAAGGGAAAGGAAGCAGGAAATAAGACAGTAGGAGCCACTTTGTGTATGACACCTGCTTCTTCCATCAGAGCACATGCCATGTATGTTGCTTCCTTGCTGTCACGCTTTGCTGTGAGGAAAGGTCTGGTTACAAGAATTTGGTAAATAAAGCAGCTTTTCAAGAGCAGCAAAACATCAGGGCTGGCCCCTGCCCGGGGGGGACTTGTCAGACCACCGAGGATGGGTTGCAGCTCTGCCTGAATCTGACACTGGGAAAAAAACTTCAGGGGGTTTATTCATGTGAATTTGACCATGTGGTGATGAAATATGGAACTGGGACCACTGTAAGGAGGAAAAAAGCCCAACAGCCTAAACCTACACTGCTGGATTCACGTGGGGTTTGCAATGCTGACATACGGGGAAGCTCTGAATTTAAATCCCACATCTAAGCAATTGCCTGCAAAAGGGGAAGCGGCTCTGGACTAGAGAGGAAGGAAAGGGAGAGTGGAACACAGAGAGCAGGAGGCAGTCCAGCATGTCCTTCACTTCCCATCGCTTGGGGGCTGGGATGAGAATAGCTATGGTTTGATTCAATAAATCAATGTTATTATTTAACATGCTATTTCCAACGAGTCACTTTACAAATTTACAGCTGCAAGTGACTCATCACTGCTCAGCCTTCTGAAACCCTGAGCTCAAGTGTACTGGCAGCAATGGTGAAAACCTTACACCTAAAATCAGTTACTGAAGCAGAGCTCTGCTTCAGGTAAACAAATACATATTTCCATGCAGGAGTCAGGAACTGGAAGGGAATGCAGCTAACTTATGCTGGCTAACTATTTGCTGCCTTGTAGTCCGCACCTGAAGGGACACCTTCCAAGACAGGGAGTCCTATTCCCTTCTGGCTGCGTCCCCCTTCTCAGACAGCAAACAAGGATGTCACGTCCCACATGTTGCAAAATGATGAGCTAAATGTATAAGGACCAACTCCCAGGTTTCTTGTTTGCACAACAGGACAAAAAACTGCCTGCAACAAATAAGTGCCTGTGCATGGATGCTGCCTTCAGTAGCTTCCTGGTTTTTACTACACATCACATGTCCCAGGTAATACAGGATCTCCCACAATTAGTATCCAGATTGGTGAGCAAGAGACTGTAAAAACCAGATCTTTTCCCTCATCTCTGTCAATCAGGAACTAGCTGGGCTACATTAAATAGCGATCATTAACCTTCCAGAATAAGCACTTCATGATGACAGATAGCCCAGTGCTGCTGTGGTTTGTGCTGGGTAAGAATCCAAACCAAGCTCTCAATAGGAATGGGACATGGCAAAGGTTTCTCCAACATAAACCTGGCAGTGCATGTGAGAAGGGTCTCCTCCAGGGAAAATAGATGTTGGCAAGAGGTCTCATCTCCAAGGTCAGTAAGAGGGTATTCAATATAAACAGCAGAAAAATATGGCATTTTCCTTCCCACCTTGTAATTCTCAGGAAAACCCTACTAACCCCACAAAACAGCACTTCGTCTGGGACAAGGAGGGGGGAAGGAGAAATCAATTAAACACTGACAATTATCCAGATATATTCTCCATGGAGGAGAGAAGTAAAACATGTCCTAAACCTGTTAATCCCTACGGAAACTAGATGAGCCTGCAATAGCTATGAGCTTTTACTACTCCCAAACTCCTTCAGTTGCCTTGGATGCTAGCAAGTTTTCCATGCTTTTATCCTATGAAGCAGCAAGAATCTCAGCTCCCTTAGCGAAATCACACTTCACAATGGAGGGGTCAAGGGTATCTGCTTTCACTGTGCTCATCACTGGCAAATAGATTTACTCAAAAATCTGTTTGCCACTATTTGCATTCATAAACTCTTGAACTTCATTTGTCTCTTCCTGGAAATCTGTAATTTTTCATCAAGAAACAAAGTCTCTGATCTTTCTTTCCTTGATTCTATATTAAAAAGACTCACATGGTCTATTTTTGCTAGAAGTGAAGCATTGTGGAAGGGAAAGAAGAGAGATCTTGCATGTGGCAGCTGAGACACACAAGTGCACTCAACACACTGTGAATTCAGACGCCACACCAGTTTCAGCTAAGGTGCTCTGGCCAGAACTTCCTATGTACAGCACCTTCAGCCCATACCTGGTACTGGAATGTGCCTGCACTTGTTCCCAGAACTGCAGCTTATCCTGCCCTCAGCCTGTAAGCAATGCACTTAGCATATCAGATGCAGTAATTGTTTCTCTTTTTTTCTTATTTAACTGCTTTGCAGAAGATAAAAACCATACAGAGAAGATGTAAACAGAACTTGTAAATGAGCCAACTACTGTTTTTTTCTCTCCTGTTTTCATCAGAACATGAGGAATTCTCTTGTTTACCTGGTAGAGTAAGAGTTGATTTCTGGGTTGGTTTTTTGCCGCACTTGATTCTGTATTCATTTATGGAATTTTCTATCTCTTGCAGCTTTTTTACAGCATCAGCATACTCCTGCTTTCTTTTCTTCTTCACATTCTTGCAGAGGTCTGGCTCACTGGCAAGTTTCTTTGCAGCTTCCACCAGCTTTTGCTGTATGATAAAATTGCTCTCCAAGTCCTGTAAGGCAGGGTCCTGCAAATTCATGAGGTGAGTTACTTGCTTGTACGCTGGGCAGAAACTACCAAAGTTTATTCAGTAGAAGATCTATTATTATGGTAACGAAGTGAAATTTTGAGCACAAACCACCAGCACAAACTTGAGCACAAAAATACCAGTTTATACACAAGACAACCTCAGCATGTGAAATTTTTAGACCTGATTTCTGTGACTAGTGCAAGATTATGAGATCTCCTGAGAAAAGTCCAAAGTTTCTCAAGCCTGGGTGACATAAAATAAACATCTAAATTCAGGCTTAGACAGCTAAACCTCCTGCTCTGAGTCTAAACCTGAAAGTGTCTGTTCAAACTATCCCTCTACTGGTAAACTGGGAATTGGTATCACTGTACCTACGTAATAGGGAGCTGGAGGTTTTCATTAATAGTTTGTAAACAACTGTGAGAAGCTCAGATGAAAGGCACTGTAAAAGTGGTAAGCAACACGTTATTAAATCTGGTCAGGAGGATTTTGTTTCAATAGCATTTAAGCAGTTTACGTAAAATCTGTTTGCTGCAGACATGGATTACACCAGTCCTGTAAGCCAGGGCAGTGAGTTTTTGGTGAAACACAGATGCAAAGTGCCCAACACCTACTTACTGCTTGGATGATACAGCTTGTTAACAAATCTCATGAGGAATGAGAGGTAATGGTATGTGTCTAGAAACTGCAAATATCTGAATTACCATATTTCCTGAGTCAGTCTCTGCCAGCAAAGTTCATATGAGCTTCTTGAGCAATATAGTGAGCTTTTACTTAGGTGGAACTTGCATTAAGCCAGAGATAAATCTCCTCCTGTCACACAACTATGCTCAGAACAGATGATTTTGCAAGGGGAAAGTGCACACCCCTTCCACATTCTGGGTTCAAACACAATCTCAACACAACACAAATAAATGCTCAAGAACAACTCATAGCCATGGGTTGCCAAATGGTGTTACACTCCTGCTCTTCTCTAATTAGCAGCAAAATAGCCATTAAAATTCAAGCAGCGTGGCAAATCAGAGGCTCCGGTCAGGGGATTTTAAGGTCTTTTAAAACAGCCAACTTCCTGGTCATTTCAAAGGCAGCAGGCTGAAATCAGGGTAGTACCCATCTACATTTCCCAGCCTATGCAAGCAGCTGCCTCCTCTTAAACAATCAGGGAAGATGTGGATTATTTACAAGTGGCTTTGGCCACCGGTCTGGCCACCCCACCTCTGCTGTGAAAACAAACTGCCGCGCTCACCTCTTCACTCGGGAGCAGGTTGTCATCCAGCTTGAATGCTGTGCCAACACGTCTTCTGACCTGGGGAGGTTCCTCTCCAGCGCTCAGAGGATACTCCTTGGGCATCTTGCCGGTCAGCTCCTAGGGAATAGAAAGGGCTCCACATGAAGATCCAGAGGGAGAGAAGGGTTCTCACCCACCCTGACCCCAGCATAAGGTACAGCTCTCACCGCCTCTCGCAGGCAGATTTTCTTCAGCTCCTCAACTTTCTGAAGCAGTTTTTCCTGAAGGAGTTTCTCTTTCTTCTTTAGTTCCGTGATTTTCTCCTTCTTTTGTTCTTCACTGACCTCTGAATCCTGAGAGCCTGAAAAATACACTCTCTGTATCAGAGGACTTGCAGCTAAAAGCTATTTTTTTTCTGACCAAGTAAGGTGAGATCTCCCCAAAGCAGCCCAGCAAAACAATATGTCATTCAAAGTGCAACATCCAGCTCCTGTGTCATCCAGCAAGCAGGTTTTTAGGAAATCTGCACTTTTTCAAACCCCCAATGTATAAACTTGCATGGGAAGTCCCAAGTATACACCCCAAAACCCCAGCACCCAAAACATAAAGCATTGCATTAGTGATATCTACAATATACTTGGTATTTCGGTTTTGGCTGCTTTCGAGACAGACACTTGGGCTTCACCTGGAGGCACCTACATGCAGCAGCCAGGTTTTTACCTCCCCCCTTTTCCCCTCCTCCACAGTCAAGAGACAGATCTAAAGTCCACTCCAGAGCTGAGCTTTATTTGGAAACATTTATCTTCCCTGCTCATTTTTGAGGAAGCTCAAGGCAAATTTCCTTCAGACTTTGATCAGTCATTCAAGGCCTGACTGACTGCTAAATGGTACCGAATTATTCATGGACCGGGAGCATACGGGTGCTTATCCATCTAGCATATTTTTATTTCCTTTTATTTAGTTACATGGGGGAAACAGCAGATTATAACATTGATGCTACTGTTTCAGATAGATAACTAACACAGCCCTTTGCATATGTCACTGTATTTATGGTCAGCTAGCCTCATTTTTCCTTTTAACATACACAAGCCCCACTGTACTTTGCTACCCTACATTTACATGAAGTATTACCTGATGAGATCAAACTGCCGTTGCTGGCCATAATAAGCTGGTTCTTTGCCTCCAAAGTCACTAGCTTTGAAACTTTTGGTGTTCCCATGTCTGTCAGATCCATGGCAATATCATCCAAACTTCTGGCTGAAGGAATTTTTGCCTGCAGGAGTTTGGGAACAAAAGAATCCAGCCTCATCAAGTTACCTCTAATGAACTTCAGAACACGAGATCACAGAAGATGACGTTTCACACCTCATCTGCCACAAAATTAAGGGCTAAAGCAGCAGCATCATGCGGGGAGGTCATGGTGCACAGGGATGTGCTGGCATTCCTCTCACCCTCTGCCCCCAATGCCTGTGCCATCTCCCAGCTCAAAATCCCTTTGCTGTTTGCACTGTGTTCAAAATGAACTTGAGAAGGAGACAAAAGAAAAAGCAGATTAAACACTGAAACGTGGGAATTCCCTCTACTGTGATTACACTTCCGTAGCCCTTAATTGCAGGCAGGCTGAAATGGATCAAATAATAACAGCATCTCTAAGAAACTGCTCATAAAGCTGCCAAAAAGTTTGTAGTTTTCCTCTGGAGAGTAGTTCATCCATGGAAAAACATACACCAAAGGGTATACAGGAAAGGTGTTGAAACTTATGCCACAGTAAAATGTCTTGCAACTTACTTTGCTTTGCTTTCTGTCCAAGTAAAACTGGTGTTGACTGATTGCCATCACCCAGATGGACTTGATCAGGGAAGTGTTCGCATACCAGGTTTGCACTACCAGCCCGCTCTGACCAAAGGTCCTTCTTGACACTGAAATTCTGAGAGGGTGAAAAAAACGCAATTTCAAGATAGGTCTTTCAGGTTTAAAGTCCCAAGTGCCTCTCTCTTAACCAGGCAAGGCTCAGCCTTTGAGAGATGTGAAAACTCAGGTTTCCTTCTTCTCACCACCCAGTGCTGCTGCAAAGGCTCTTTCTTTTTGGGAGGGATCTTGAGGGCAAGGCACAGGGAAGCAGCCTGTGGGTGAGCTCGCGCCCTAACCAGCAGTGTTCCTGTGGGGCTCTAAAGGCTCATGCTCAGAGGAGAGAGCAGTGCTGCCACAGCAGCGGAGGGCAGAAGGCGAGCAAGAAAGTCATGCCTGGGTCCTGTGGGCTGTGTTCCCAGGTCTCCTCCTGCACAGGCACGTTACAGCAGCCTCTCAGGGAAGGGTGTTGTAAAGTGAACAATGACAAATAGCCCTCCCTCTGCTCCAAGAACTCATTCTGTGGACAATCATAGGCAATCTGAGAGAACACCCAGAGCTGTAACACATCAACAGTCACTCCAGGTTGCTCACTATGACTGTGACCTTCCCCCTGCAAGCACTACTTGTCCATCACCCACAGCCCAGGTCCAGCCCTAGTCTGCCCTGCCAAGCGCAGAATCAGGGTCAGTGTCACGAAGTCCAGAGTAAACTGAGGTCTGTGTTGAATTCAGAGGCAGCTCCCATCCCGTCCACTAGCATGAGATGGCAAATCCCCAGTTTGGGCAAAGACTCATCCCACTGCTCCCTCTGCCTCCTCCAGCCTTACCTGCGGGGATCATGTACTTCCACAGCAAACTTCTTTTCACGGAAATAGAGGTTTTCCAGCTGTTTCCATTGAAATAGCTAGGAAAATTAGGAGAGAGATGCAGAACACTGTCACTACAAGAATCACCACTCTTCTCCCCGCAAGGATATGTAATTTCACACTCTTACAGACAGTGCATTGCAGATTGAGGATTTTGCCTGTGACATCTGTTTCCATCAGTAGCACATTTAATATACTGCTGCAAGCTCACAGAGATCTTGGGAGGACAGCTAAAGCCCTTTTCTCTCTGATTAAACACAAAAACTTCCATGCAAAGTAGCTGCATACACACCTATCTCTTCCCTCAGTCACATCCCCAGGGAACAGCAGCAACTCCGGGATAACCAAAACCTTTCTCTTCTGAAGACACAGGGCGAGAGACTTCGCATGACATTTCGGAGCAGGGGTACAGCACGTACAGAGACAGAGCAGCTACGTGAGGAAGCCACCCCCAATGAGTAGTTCTGTAAGGAAACCACAGATTTCCTGCAAAGTGCCAGCTGGGAGAAGAGATCAAAGTCAACTGGGGCTTGGCAGCTGCACCCATGGGATCAGGATTTCATAGGAATTTGCTCTCTCTGTGCACCAGCATCAGCCACCCTCTGGGAATGGCGCAGCAGGGGCTGCACGTTCCCAGTGTGGATTTGGCTGAGCTGTTCCCCAGCACCTAAGCGCAGGTTTCAGCAGTAGCAGCAGCATCTCCTGTCCCAACTCCAGCAGTAACAGGGTGCACACCAAGACCTGTATGGGTGTCCCCAAGGACGTCACCTGAAGATGACAGGGTGCACAAGTGAAGCAGCACACGCTGTAGTTCACAGCTGGCTGCTTTCCAGAGCTACATCCCACACGGAGGTACCTGAGGTACTTCCACCCGGGCTGGGCAGGCAGGGCCAGTGTGAAGTGGGAGCGCTCAGCTTGCAACATCACTGATGCATCAAGGCACCCAAGCCACCACAGCAACAGCCTTCAGGGGTGCAGCCACCACACCACAAATCCCCACAACACGCGGCATTCCCTCCACCAAAACACAGCACGTTGTGCTCTGCCTATGGAAGAACCTCAAGTTGTGTAAAAAATTACCTATTACACCGTGCTGCATTCGAAACGTTCTTAATACAGGTTGTAAATAGAGCATAACCCAGTGCATGTGTTTGCCAAGGAGACTGGTTCTTCCCGCGACCTTTCCCTCTGCTTAGTTAAAGCTTTCTTTTCTAGTACTACAATTTACTATTAGATCCTGCTAAATGAAAAATGCAGCAAGGGGAAATGTCATTTACTTCAAGAAATAAGTCATTTTCTAGAAGATCATGGACTCTGCTGCTTAAGTACTTTAGTATCAAAGGCACCCTGCCCCGTCACACTGCTTTCAGAAGCAGAACTCTTTACGACTTGGCATTAAACTTTTAAATAAATACATTTTTAAAGTAAATTACAAAGCAAACAGCCCACAGCGTCTGTCAGGACACTGAGCAACAGCACCCATGGGTGCTCCGGCACACAGGGATCCCCCAACACCACCCCATCAGCTCAGCCATCTCACACAGCCC